TCATCTGTTTTCTATGTGAATATACAGTAAAGTGTAATTTATTCCTGTGATCAAAGCTGAATTTATCATCATTACTCCAGTCTTCAGAGTCACATGATCCTTCAGAAATCACTCTAATATGAGGATCTGATGATCAACAAACATTTATGATTATTATCAGTGTTAAAAACAGTTGTGCGTCATAATTTTTGGTAAAATGTCATACATTTTATTTTTCTATTTTCTATTATATTATATTATATTATATTATATTATATTATATTATATTATATTATATTATATTATATTATATTATATTATATTATATTATATTATATTATATTATAAAAGCAACCTGAATATTCTTTAGATAATTTACAAACAAATTGTTACATCTTGTATTATGCATTTCTTCAATTCCTGTTTGAACGCACTCCAAAATCTGACTGAAGGAATGCAGGTGAGTGTGTGTGTGTGTGTGTGTGTGTGTGTGTGTGTGTTTAACCAGCTCTTGTTCTCTGTGTTGTCAGGGTCCCGTGGGAATGACTGGAATAACCGGTGTGATCGGACAACCTGGAGAAAAGGTAAAAACTGAGTCTTTATCTTAAACCAAATGGACTTCCACCATGTTACCTTAAATACGTCATGATCTATACTGGAGATGTGCCACCGTGAAGATCTGGAGACTGAAATCAGTCAGAAATCATGTGTTTGTGTGTTTAATTGTGTGTGTTCAGGGAGATCGAGGTCCTCCTGGTCCTCTGGGTCCTCCAGGAGAGAAAGGTTCAATAGTAAGAACTTATTTCACATTAACAAACATATATAGTACATATTTAAAAGCATTGCACTGCAAAAGTATTTTTAACTTGTATATCTAAAAACCGATATCTTCAGTCATTTTGTAAGGTTTCTTGAGTGTGAAACGTGTGTAAATCACTGGAGAAGGCGAGTGGAACAGATAAATCAGTTGTCTAACCCGGTCAGTGGCTCGTTATGGTGATAACCGTGTGCATTTCTCTTTGGAATAGGGGTATCCGGGTCTTCCAGGAAGTCCTGGAGATTTCGGCCCACAAGGTCCACCAGTAAGTTTACCCACGATCCTCTGCTGTTTCATCAAAAAGTTTTGTTCATCATGAAATCTTCACAAATCTTTGCTTTGATTTGATTTGAGCTTTGATTTGGAGATGATCTGAGCCAGTTTTGGTGAAAATCGGATTAACCACAACGAATTATCTTGAGCCAAGGAATCAGAGAAGAATTTGTTTCTAGCCCTTACGGTTCCGTTATTAGCATAAACTTGAATGCAATATCGGACAGTTGGTGGCGCTAGAGGGATTGAGTTAGACACTCCAAAATTGCTGTGGTTAATGATCGGACTGTCTTCTATCTGTGTGCCAAATTTCGGAAGACGAAATATTTCGGATGACGGAAGAATGAGAACACTAACAGATCGCCTACACACGTTCAGATATACTCTTGAGTCTCCAACAGTGTTTGTTTTGTTTTTTACAATGTATGACTGTGCTTGAACAATGGTAATAATTGAATTTTATGTGATATGTTCCACAAGTACCATGGTATTATTTTAACTGGTGTGAAGATCAGCGATGTGTGAAGTGTTATACACACACAGATACAGTGGTTGTGGTCTTTTTTGAGAGAAACATATCAAAGTTGAAACTTTAGTTCTTTCTGTCTGTCTCTCTTTCTCCAGGGTCCTCAAGGGCTGAGAGGAGCTGCAGGCGTTTCTGGGCCCAAAGGACGAAGGGTAAGATGAATAGATGAAAAATTATGATTCTGTCGCTTGTTTTGTTGCGTTGCTAATGATGTCAATGTGTCAATCAATTAACCAATCAGTCAATCAGTCAGTTAATCAATTAATCAGTTAACCAACCAACCGAGTCAGTCAGTCAGTCGATCAGTCAGTCAATAAATCAGTCAGTCATTCAGTCAGTCAATCAACCAGTCAGTCAGTCAATCAACAAACCAACCAACCAGTCAATCAACCAACCAGTCAGTCAGTCAGTCAGTCAGCCAGTCAGTCAGTCAATCAACAAACCAACCAGTCAATCAACCAACCAACCAGTCAGTCAATCAACCAACCAGTCAGTCAGTCAGTCAGTCAGTCAGCCAGTCAGTCAGTCAATCAACAAACCAACCAGTCAATCAACCAACCAACCAGTCAGTCAATCAACCAGTCAGTCAGGCAGTCAAACAATCAATCAAACAATCAGTCAATCAATAAACCAACCAGTCATTGAATCAATCAGCCAGTCAGTCAGTCAATCAACCAGTTAGTCAGTCAACCAACCAGTCAGTCAGTCAACCAACCAGTCAGTCAATCAACCGACCAGTCAATCAATAAACCAACCAACCAGTCAGTCAGTCAGTCAATCAACAAACCAACCAACCAGTCAATCAACCAACCAGTCAGTCAGTCAATCAACAAACCAACCAGTCAGTCAGTCAGTCAATCAATCAACCAGTCAGTCAGTCAGTCAGTCAATCAACCAGTCAGTCA